GTGTTACTGCTTTGTGAATGGTTTGCATGGTTACACCAATTATGCTTATAAGCTTATGTCGTCTATGTTCTCACCAAATACCGATAATATTTAAATTTATTTAATTTAGACATTTGAATTTAATTTTTGTTTTTTATTTAAATCATTATTTAAAAATTAATATATTATGATAAAATAGAAAATATTGTTGTCATATATTTATTACGTAATTCCTCTTCAACTTGTTATATTTTCGGTTCAGGTTTGTTTGCACATAAAGTCTCAACAATTAATTTATGATAATTAGGTTCATGACAAATTTTTTTATGGAAAAAATCAATTGTAAATATTAATTGAGACAGTTATAAATTTAATAATTTTAACTGCAAATAAGATATTTAAATTTTAAATACAACTCTTAATTTGTAATTGGAATTTCTGTTGGTAGGTGTTCAAATTAATATTTGAAACATGTATTTTCAAAATAATTCTCTATTTCAAACTTTATTATTTTGGGATTTTATTATGATTCTTCTTAAAAGTTTTGACACCCTTCTGGTGTAAGGACTTTTTTTCTTCGATTATTGATAAAAAAAACTTTTATTTTTTATTTTATTTGAAAAATATTAAAATTGAAAAAATAAAACAAATTTTAAGCAGCAAGTGAATGATTTGAATTTAATTAAAACTAAGGACAAAATTTTATAAAACTTTTTATCAATTTTTGGGTGAATTCAATTGGAAAGTGATGTGTTATGTACAATCAATTTCTTCAAGCTCTTGGGATAGAGGTGAATTAACCCAATCCTAGCTCTATTATATGATTAATTTTCTAATTATAATTAGGTTCAATTAGCTCACTTAATTTAATTAATCACTTAGGACCCTAGGTGACAATTAACTTATTAAGTGATCTAATTAATCCTAAACAAGCACACTCGACCTCTCCTTGCTTCAATCAACTTGATTAAAGAACCAAACACATGATCAAGTTCCAATACAAAACCATTAAAATTGAAATGCTCAAGAAAAAGAGGTAAGAACATATTTACAGGGCAAGACCCGAATTGCAAATGGACTTGAATGAAAATTCACCATCTCTGTGGAAGAAACCTTCAAAGTTCAGCATCAAAATCACGTGGATAGCCATGGATGAACTCAAGCTTCACGTTACTTGAAGAATGGAAGAAGAACAAGATGAAATGAGCAAGAATTTGAATCGGATGACGAGAGGAAGTGTTTAATTGGTATTGCTTTTGAAATGGATGAGTGGAAGTGAGATTTGTAGAGAGAGAGACATGCTGAAACCCTAGAGAGACGTGGAGAGAAAATGATGAACAAGAAGAGGGTGATACTTTCGAAAATGTGGAGTTAATTATTTCAACAACAACAACAACAAGCCTTTATCCTACTAGGTGGAGTCGGCTACATAGATTGCAAGACGCTATTGTGTTCTATCATTTATCAAGCTTTTAGAAATATTATTAATTAAGAGATCGTGTTCAACAACTTTCAAAAGTGTTCAGTTAGGAATATTAATAATTCTTAACATGGAGTTAATTATTTCAAATGTGAAAAATCCAAATGACTTGGTGAGTTAGTTGTAAATCAGTTAGTGTTGTGCATTGTTGTGGGTTAATTAGGCAAGCGAGAGGACACATGACACTGATGACTTTTCTAATGGAAAAATACTAATTAAAAATGCAATTAAAACCTGGAATATCAATGCTTGAATTTGAAATTAGGCTAGAAGGTGGTGGAAAAATAAAATGATTTAGTGAGTTGGCAAGGTAGAAAATTAAATGAAAAAGAAATAAGGAAATTGGAAAATGACTACTTGACCCCTTGCTTGAATTATAATAAGCTTCCGTCTTGTAATTTTCTTCCTTGGATCATTCTTTTGGCTATCCAATGGTGAGATTTCGAGCTGCCCATTCAACCTTCATTCTATTCCCATGACCTAAAACAAGCGAATGCCACCATTGGAAAATATTGTGCATATTTTATTCAAGTGATAATTCAATCTTCACAAGTTAGGAATTATTTAATGTGACACAAAATAAAATGATTGAGATGGCATGGGGTGGAAGACAAATTTAGAAAACCACTAAGGAGTTCTCACTAGTTAGTTCACAATTCGGAGACACTTCAAAGACTTTAAGTGAAAAACAACCTTATCAAATTTAACTAACTAGTTCAAGTATACTATGTTTTTATTTTAACATCTCAAAATTTTAACACGAGATTAATAAGTTAATAAGGGGTAATTAAGTAAATCGATGACTTAATTCAATTAGAGATGGTTAAGGATGATTGATGGATTCATTGAACTTGTTGGTAGCCTTGAAATTGGATTTGAGAGTGAATTGAGCCACCTGAACCCAAGTGAGGATGAGCAATTTCAAGGTAAGCCCTCTATGCCATTTTTTGTGACGGAAAGCACAATGCGCCCGATGGATGTACAAAAATTTGAACAAGTCAAATCTCGAACATTGAAGAAATCGAAAGAGGAAATTGAGAGAAATGAGGAAGAGCTCACTTGGGTTTGCTAGGGCGCACAAGAATCATCCTTGGGGAGATTATTTGGAGCTTATATCACTTTTTAGTAAGTTGTTTATCTTCATCCTCTCCCTTTATACATGAATTTCAGCTAGGTTTTGGGATGAATGGTGATGTTTTTGGTCGTGGGGAAGGATTTGACCAAACCAATAAGGTTTAATGGAACTACTAGGAGTTGTTTTGGTCTTCTAAACGTAAGGTTAGGATTTATATGAAATTGTATGGTTGGGTTTTCATTTTTGGACAAACCTAGAGATGAAAATGATGATTGGGAGCTAATGTAGCAAACAAATGGTGACGTTTAGTCTAAAGAAGGTTTAATGAACCTAGCTTTTAAGCTAATGGATAGTTGGAAATGTCTGGTTTATGAAGAAAATGGAATTTATGAGCTTGGGTTAGTTGGTAATAGTTAGATATATAAGGCTCAAGGAACACCACTACAAAATATGCATACAAAAACATCTATATTGGAGTGCTTATGCGAAAAGCACTTCAATAAATATGGGCATAACGTTTTTGGAGTGCTTATTGTAGGATTAACAATGTTAGAATTTCTCATGATAGTATCAAAATGCCAAATAATTGTATTAAAAAAAATTTCATAATTCTAACAATTTTACTTTTAGTAGATAATTAACATGATTGAGGGTTACAATTTTGAATTTGATTTAGTAGCATCCAATATCAAAGGTCTTATCAGAGGTAGTGATGAAGATGAGTGGATTAGGTGGCTTTATTTTCACAAGATCTAGGAATATATATGTGACAGTTTGACAGTGAAATTATGGGGACTTATCGATATGCTCAACTTAGAGTTACCACGAGGCCATTGAGTACATGTGGAGTTGGATTGCTAGTGACTGGCAAACTAATTGAGTTACAAGAGTCACTATGCACGTAGTCAAGTATCTCAACCAAAGTTTTAACGCCATTTGCCCAGTCCCATAAGTCCATTTGGCAAAAGCACCTTCAATTAACTTGACATCCTGTATAATTGCCACCTGCTAATGCAAATTGGGTGCACGGAATAACTCCTCACACCAAATTTAGATTCTCGGCATTAGTCTTATTTACAAGGCAATGAAAAAAAAGATTGATTTTGATTTTATTTATAAAACACTTTACTATTTTTTATATTGATCTTTATATTTCAGCCATTATTAAATTTTTTAAAAAATTATTAAAAATAATTCTTTTTGTCTTTAGGAGATAGAGGTAAAAACTTATTAAATTTTAAGGGTACGATGCATCTTTTTTCTTAAACTGTTCTCCTAAAAGCACCCAATATTCAAAACTATTTGTTATAGTAATTTTACTCTTAAAGTAATTAAAACATAGCATAATTTCCTTTGACGTTAAATATTCCAACGTTAATCGTTAAAAATGTTGATTGAGATTTAAATTTGATCGAAAATGTCACTTATTATGCCAAATGGATCCAATTTAATTAAGGTGCATTTAACTTTTCTCCAAGAAACACCTAGTGTCTTAAATTATTTGCTTCATAGCAATTTCGCTCCTAAAGTAATGAAAACATAGCAAAAATGTACCTTAATTTGGATTTACATAGCATGACAAGTAGCATTTTTTTGTCAAACTTAAGTCTTAATTAGAATTTTTAGCAGTCAACATTGGGTATTTAACATAAATATGCTACGTTTTCATTATTTTAGGGATAAAATTGCCACGACAAACAATTTAAGATATTAGGTGCTTCTTAAAAAATAGTTTAGGGGCAAAAATATCACCTAACATGGATCCACTTAGTATAACAGGTGGCATTTTTTTTTGTCAAACATAAATCTCAATTAGCATTTTTAACGGTTAACGTTTGTGTATTTAATTTCAAAGATAAATATTCTAAGTTTTAATTACTTTAAAGATAAAATTACTACAATGAATAGCTTATAATATTAGGTACTTCTCAAAGAATAATTTAAGTGCAAAAATGCACCTTAATCCTAAATTTTAAAATAAAGTTAATAAGGTTATTCTTAATTCTAATAAAATAAGTTAAAAGTGATTTATAAATAAAGTTAAAGGAATAACTCCATTCAAATTGTCCTTACATGACTCTCAAGACTGCACTTATGATTTATTACATGAGTCATCACTCATCATTCATAAAAATCTAAGGAAAAAAAAAAAAAGATATACACACTAGGATGAGTTACCATATGGATTCAATAGTCTATGATTTTCGTGCCTCATTTTTTTCCCCCTTGCGTTCCCCTTCCAACTCACTTACTATACTATACATGATTTTTTTTTGAATGCCCCCCAATTCCATTTATAAGTCTCTTTTAACAATATGTTTCACCAAAAATCAAGAAAAATCTTAAAATTCATTCACTCTATCTAATTTTTTTTAAATTTCTAATTTTATTCCTATTAAACTTATATTTTAATTTTAAAATGTGTTTACTCTTGCCAAAATTTAGTAGGGGCTAAAAGAAAAAAAATGATATAAAAATTTAATAATAAAATTCAAAAGAAGTACTATTTTTATTCTACCAAATTGGCATTTGGCAGAGGCAGCAGCAAGACATGCTACCTCATTGGCACTTGCCCCCGCCCATTTTTACAAAAATTACATGCAAAGCATATAAAATTTACCTTTCCTGACTCTCACTAGTTTTAATATTTTGACTCCACTAAGTTTCAATTCTAATAGCTTTCCCTTTTAATTACCCCACTAACATCGAGTCTTGGATCCGCCATTGAGAGTAGGAGCAAAACTTGCTACAAAGTCATCAATATTCTTGTCAGTACTTCCACCTTCATCACAAGCCGTAGCAGCAAGAGTCTTCCATTTGATGGCATTCCTCTTCATCTCTTTCCCTCTTTCACTCTGCATCACTTCCTGTATGCATTTCTTCAGTTTTTCTCTTCTCACAATTCCTTTCTCATCAGCTTCAGCTTTCACTCCCATCTTCCACACATCTTTTATGTACTTTGCATCTGTTGGTTGGTCCGTCCACTGTGGAACCGCCACCATTGGAACTCCTAAGCTCACAGCTTCCAATGTTGAGTTCCATCCACAGTGTGTCACAAAGCAACCAACAGCTTCATGATTTAACACTTGTAGTTGAGGACACCATGTGACCACCAAACCCTGCTTGTTCTGTGACATGTCCAAAAAGTCCTTGGGAAGCTTAGGTTTCTCTGGATCTCTAACTACCCATAAGAAGTAACTTCCACTGTCATTCAAGCCCCAAGCTATTTCCTCCATTTGATCACTGTCAAGAACGACTAAACTGCCAAATGAGACATAGACGACAGACCCAGCTGGCTTGTTGTTTAACCATTTCATGCAAGCTTCGTCTTCTTCCTTGTAAAAGCTGAAACCATAGGCATTGTCATCTTTGAATCTTCTGTCTAAGAACTTTGATGGTATGGTTGGTCCTATGGTCTTTAGAGGGAAGATTTTTGATTGCCAATCAGCCACCTATGGCGTGTCAGAAGATATAATTAATGATCAGCTTTCAATTACAATATGTGTGTGTGTGTGTTTTATATTAAGTAGGATATATTTACTCACTCATCGAATGCATACATTCTCTTCAACGGTGGAAATACAGACACTTCATCCAAAATAATAAGCCAAGCTGCTTTGAATTCAGGCAGTGTTTTTGACTATTACGGATTTAAAACTATAAAAAAAATACAAACTTGAATTTAGATTAAATTTAAATTCATAAATTTTTATGGATCTAAATGATGGATTTGGTCAAAATTTAAATCCAAATTATACATTCAAACGCAATATAACATGAATTCATCAAGAAAGTCTGAGATGTTTTAATGGTAGGGGTTATCTACACAAATTTAAAAGTTGAGATAATCTTTCTAAATTTTAAAAATCGAGGTGGATTTCAAAATTCAAGGGAATTAAATAATTTAGCCTAAAAACACCTATACATATATAATACGTATATGTATTATGTATATATTTTATCATAAATTCTTATATTTGTGTTTTACTTGGTAAATGACATATATATTATATTCCTTATATAATCCCCTTTACTCCCTCCTCCCATTTTGTAATATTTTATTAAATATACTTATTCAATATTACCATTCCCTCATTATATTTTTTCTCTGTTTTTTTTATAACCACCATATTGTCCCTCTTTAACATTATTAAATGAAAGGTATTTTTTAAAAATTTTATTTTTATTTTTAAAAAATAAAATTGTAAAGTGTATTTAATGAGCTTGATAAGTATGCATAATTTTATCTAAAATTTTCTTATAAATATAATTGAGACAGATGGAGTATATATATCTTTTAAACTTTTAAATTTATAGAGACGGCCATAAACTAGAAAAAAAATTAACTCAACAAGATGAATGAATTCCTTCAACATTTTTTGGAAGCTTAATTACCACTCTTGAATAGTAAATCATGGGATTATTATATTGCTAACATAGAAGAAAGAAAACAAACATATGGTATCGTTGGCTTATATAATTAAAAGAAATCAACAAGTGTTATACTGACCTGTGGCTCAAGCTCATAGAAGGAATTACAAAGCACCCAATCTACTTTCTCAATATTAGAGAACTGATTCACAACCATGTCCGTGAAACCTGGATAAAGCCCCAAAACATTCAAGAAGGATGGCAAGTCAGAGAAAGCGAGTGGAGGCAACGCAGGAAGCAAAATCTCAGACTTATCATCAGTCACAGGAATCTTCAAATTTCCATGATAAACATGGTAATATATACTGTTCACTGCACAAGATTGAGTGAAGAACACTGCTCCCATAATCCCAAACTTCTTGGTCACCTCAAGAGCCCAAGGAATGAACGAATCATACACAACACAGTCAATTGAATTCCCTGAACTTGTGAGTCTCTGTAAGAGTTCTTCAAAAGTCTTTGGCCCGACGTCCCAGAACCGATCGATGTAGGCTTTGTCGCTTCCGGCCGTGGCGATCCCGCCATCATCAAAGCCGTCGGAGATGCTCTCGAGAGCTATGGAGGTGGATTTGAATTGTAATGTGTTGCAAAGGAAGCGAGAGGCCACGAGTGTGACTCTCACACCTTTATAATTCAAACGCTTTGAGAGTTGAAGCATAGGGTTGACATGTCCTTGTGTTGGAAAAACCAAAACTAAACAATGGGGTCTTCTGTTTTGCCTGATCTCTTCCATGGCTCTTCAAACTACTCTGAGATTTGTGTATATGAGTGTGTGTGGTTGAAATGAATCCTTTTATAATATTCTTATTCTCTTTTACATCTACCATTCTTGATTTTTATCCCTACCTAAACTAACGAAGTTGACTTCTTTGTATTATCTATGTTTTTGTTCATATTTAAATTCTTTAAAGTTGGGATTGATTAATTTATTAGGTGAAGTTTTATTTAAAAAAAAGAGAAAATATTTTATATTTTAAAAAATAATAAAATGAGCAAAAATGAAAAATTCATATAAATTTACTAATTCCAACTTCAAAGGATTTAAATCCTTTTTTCCCGCATCCCCAATAATGAGGTGGACTTTGATATGTACATAAAGTCTAAGAAGCCAGCCTGAATGGCAGTGAAAATAGATTTTTATTTTTAAGTCATTTTTAATATGTTCTATTGAAATTAAAAAAAAATTTATCAACTCTGTTTAAGAATTTAATAAATTTTTAACTTTATTCATATTGAATATACTGCACATACTTCAAAAGCTTATTTTATTTTATCTTGATTTTTTTTTGGTGTAATCTTTTATCTTGATATTTAATGGGGGCATTGTGTAAAAGAACATTTGATGAGAGTAAAACGAAATTTTTTATAATAAAAATTTAATGACATGAAATAAAAAAATTTCTTCTCCGCCTGATACATAATTTGTTTGGTTGATGGAATTGGATTCATGAATTAAAGGAATGAAATAGAGAAAAAAATATAATAACTAAGTAGAATTTAACTTGTGCCAGGTAAAAATATTTAACGTAATATATTTTTATTTTTTTCTGAAAATATAATTTTTTTATGATTAGTTGTATGTGAATGGAATAAAAAATCGAAAGTAAAAAAAAAAGATCGAATTATTTTTTGCTGAAGGAAATATAACGATTTATGATTTTGATCCAAAAAATTGTGTGTAAATTTTATATAATTAATTATCACATATAAAAAGGACAATAATTTTGTAATTACTTAGAACGAGTTAAGGGTTTGTTTGGTATGGAAATATTTTCATTTTTTGAATATATAAAAAAGCATGATATGTAATCTTATACTTTTGTTAGTTTAATTTAATTTTATTCGCTTCTTTTATTTTTTTTATAGAAAAACACTAATGTATATGCGTTTTTTAATTTTGTATTCTTAATACTCCCTCCATTAAAAAATCTAAAATATTTTTAGAGAGTTAAATATTAAAAATATAAAACAGTTTTAGTATTTCAAAATATAATTAATGTATTTTTTAAAGTACTCTAAATAAATAAATCATGTTATATTTATTTTTAAGTGAAATACCCTATTAAATAAGAGTATATATAAAAAATGATGATAATTAAAAGATAATTAACTAATTTAATAAAGGGTGAGATTTAATTAAAAATATTTTATATTTTTAATAGTGTGGGTATTTCACTTTTCAAATGAATTACTTAAAACTTAAAAAGGTACTCATGCTATAGGAAGTCACGATTGAATTTTTTTCTACCCTTATTAGTAACGGTAGTAATAATATAATCAAGCGAGACCTAGATGTTACAACGGTGAGTTCGGATAATCGTTTTAAAAAAGTAATTATTTATTAGTTTTTTTTTCTGAAACATCATTTTAGGGGACATTTTAATATTCCATTGTTTATGTAAACATTTAATAATTAGGGCATACTTTCAATATCAAAAGAATGTTTACGTAAACATTTACAGATCATTCTTCAATAAAATTTTCATCTCATTATACATTAGAATTTGAACTTGTAAACTAAACTAATATTTATTGACAGAATCTTAAAACATTTCATTTGATCAATTTTACAATTTAACTACATCTAGTCCCATAAAATCTAAAACAAACCTAGATGTTATGTCATAATCATAAACGAGGACCACCCGACAATACTACCAAAAATGTCGCAAACTATTAGTAAAAGTTAATAAAATTACAAAGATGTACATCTCATCTCATTTAATTTACATACATACATACATATGTGTATGTGTATCAACAATACTATACAACAGAGAACTGACATAATGCTTGTTTGGCATGTATAATGAATGTTCAGATTTTTATTAAAAACATGATTTTAAATTTATAATTGATTTTAATATGTAATATGGGTGTTTAGATATATTTTCACAAAAACATCACTTTACCTTATTTTCAGTTTTGCTTTTCAATTCTACTTTTTAATTCTTATTAAAAATAATCCTATTACTTGATTTTATAAATCAATTATGGGCTTGTTTGTTTTAGCTTATTTCATAAAAAATCACTTTTTTTTGAAAAAAAATCTATTTTGTGAGTTTATATTATATTTGTTTAAACTTTTGAAGATAATCATAATACCAAAGAGAAAAAAAATCAGATTTTTGATTATTTTTAGAAGCTACTTTGATTTGTTTTTGAAAATGATCTAATGTGGTAGATAAGAGAGAGTGTTTTAAAGAGGCGGGATATGCAAATATATCATAAAATTTTAAAATAATATAATAATAAATTATTTTTGTAAAATAAAAATCAAGAACGATATTATAAAATTTAAAAATAATTAACTAATAATCACTTTGGTATTATTATAACCAAACATAAAATAATATTTTCTTTTTATAAAATCTTTTACAAAATAAATATCTTTCTATAAAATCTCTAAACTACTTAACAATCAATTATTTTTTAATCTTAAACATGTATTAATAACATAATCAATTATATTTAAAATTAATTATATTAATCAATTTTTTTGATAATTAACTGTATTTAACTAAAATTTAAATATACCCATAGATGTTATGTCAAATTAAAAGGGGGACCCTACAATACTGTATAAATAAACGCTAGTTCAGGAGAGACGTGTAACGCTAGTACTACTCCTAATTAGGGAAACGTGGGTCTCATGAATTAAACGAACTTCTTTGAAAGCATCCTTTACCTGATGGCAATTATACGTGTTTGAAGCCACGGCCGCTTATGGGAGTTGGATTTAATAAAATGAGTTAGTCTTTAAAAATATAATAAATTAATATTTAAACTTTTGTTGGGAGAGGTGATTATGTTTAATACTTGGCCTTATCTTGAATAGGAGAATATCTATGAGAATTTAAAAATGAAGCCGTGACATCAATTAGTATTACAATTATAATTATTGAATTTTATGAACACTTAAAAATTATTAAGATATATTTTTCTTTAAAAATTTCAAAAATACTTGAACAAATATATTGTACTCCATCTGATCTTTAATTATAAAGCAAACTTAGTTAATTAACTTCATGATTATTAAAAAATTATAGTTATATCTTTAAAATTGTTAAGCAATTATAGTTATGTCCTTAAAATTAATAATCATATTAAATTATTGTCTACTAACTCAAACCATAATGAATAAAAGTGTGAAATTGAAAAAACAATTACTTACTCTAATTTTATCTTATCCATAGGACTTAAAAAAAGCTTTCAAACTTCTCTCTCATATATATATATATATATATATATATCATAAATTTCATATAAAGTCATCCATCTAACTCTGGAGTTTCTGTGTAGAGGAAATTAATGGGAGGGAAGTTGTTGGGTCAAGGCAGCAAGGTTTGGCAAGAAGAAGCCAAACGGGCAATCTGTACTTCATATTTTCTCTTAATGAAATCTTTTTTTTTTTAAAAAAAAAAACACATCTCATGTTGATATTTTTTTAATGAGGGATATTTTTTTGCCAGCTATGGATATTATATCTTTTGCTGTATATCTTAAAAATTCCATTCCATTAGTTAAATACAATAGTGGTTCCATTTGTTTTTGGAAGTAAATTCTCTAAAGTTGAGATCGATACATTTCAGTAAATTTTTTTAATATTTTATTATTTTTTTATAAAATATAAAATCTTTTCTTTACAAAATAATAAACTTCCACCCAACAACCTTTTTCTGTCCACTTTTTATTATCAAAAGAGAGGGAGAGATAAAACTAGAACATGGGGACAGCTTTCTCTGTTTTAACATACGCCGTCAACCAAACTCTAAAAATAAGTTATTTTCTTCATTTGAGATGAGATCTGAATAACTTTATAGTCAAACTTGGATTGTCTAAAATTATTTATTTTTTCATTTTCAATTTCTTAAGTCAATTTCAACCATGTCTAAATTTTAATCAATACATTTGTTATTTTTTTTAGAGTAAGAATACTAATGTGTCACATTTTTTATTCTCAAAATTAATTGCTTCTTTAGATAAATTATTATTCATTATGCCATAATTTCGTTCGCAGTCTCAATTATTGATTGATTTGAATCACAGAATCACCAATTGAAAAGGACACATTACTATAAAGCATCAAACATGTGTAACTTGCATATATAACTTGCAACGTCATTTCATCCATTCCATCAAAAATTAAACAAAAAACCCTTTCTATAATAAAATCATATATCACATAAAAGCTAAATTCTTTTTTTTTTTCACAAGAATTCTTGCACACTACAGAGAGACTGAGAGAGTAATGACTCTTGAAATTAATTGTCTACAGGCACAAATTTAATTTATTTTTTATGCCCAATATCACTTTTCTCTCGTATCTCCCTCTAGAGCATTCCACATGAATGTATTTAATTTTATAATTCTAGGAGATCCCAATAAAACCCAAAAGAACCTTTCATGCAATTAAAAAAAAAATGCAATAGGAGGTTAAAAAAAATTAGGAGTGAAAACAGCAAGGATTAATCAGACTTGTGAGTTCATTAATAACATCATAGCTCATAATTGCTAAACATTTTATGGGAGCTCACGTAAGATAGAATTTTAGTTTGATAGTTAGAAAATACGCATTACATTCTAGCCAATCAGTGGAGGTATTGATTTTAATCATAAAATACCTCCTACTCTTACATAATCATTTTTCTTATATATCTTCTGCAACCCTATAGGTTACTAACAAATTTCTTTTTTGAGAGAATTATATATAAGTCTCATACAATACATTTAAATATCACAAGGTCCATTAACAAACTTAGC